TTCAAGTTGTCACAAACTTTCTGTGTTAAGTTCCTTTTCGAGTAATTTTGAACATTGGAACTCAATTACGTGTAAGAGTTTATTTAACTTTCAAAATGTTACAAGGTGCTCGATCTAGGCAGAAACTGATGTATCTTGGCAAAGAGTGCCTGGGTCAACAGTCTACAATTGCCAACCTCTACAAAAAAAAAAAGTATTTTATTATTAAAAGTTACAGCTTAAATGACAAAAGCTATCCATATTTCCTCATACTTGGCCTAGCTAGGAGGTGCAACTCAAATGGGAATTGTGAAACAGTAAAAGAATTTATCTCGTTAATAACCTTCTGTACTCAGAATCTAGCCACGTAAATGACTGAAATGCATGCGTCTTGGGTGTATTAATACTTCAATTTTAGAATCTACAATTCTTTCTTTTAAAATGTACTAAACCAGCAGTTTCTTAACATTAATTTCAAGCCCAGACTTTACACCTATATAACACAATTTACATCTGATTTTTTTACAAACCCATTTGGTACTGCTAAAATTATATTTACCACCTTAAAATTTTCCAAAACCTAAAGAGTAAACTTTAAACATTTTGTTTTCATCTGCATGATGTGCAACAAGTTTGTCTCGGTTGTGTGGTAAAATGTTGCAGTAGATTGTACATTATAAATCCATTTTACCAACTTTTTGATTTTCTGGCAATTGCTGGTTATTTAACGATGTTTAGAAACTGTAAAGTAATTTATTCAAAAGTTTATTTGAAAATCTGTGTGTTTTGAACTTCTATAGCCATTAAGTAAATGACATTATATTTGATTTTTTTTCTATAATTTAAATGTAAATCCAAGTTAACTTATATTCACGGTTGAACTAGAATCACAGAGAAAATCTGTATGTTTTGAAAATATGCTTAGCAGAGAAGATCCTAGGTTATAATATTGAATGAAGTGAAGATGCACGCATCACAGTTATATACATCTTTTAAATGAAATCTGAGACAATTAACTAATTTGATATGACCTTTTAATAACTGTTATGACAATAGTTAAAATAAAATTAATCTAATAAATTCCAATTTATTTATTTTAGAAACAAGTCACCTTATAACACGAAATTTAGATTTTCTTATTCCCCACACTTTAATTTACAGCCTCTTCAGAACCATTACTGACATTACAAAGCTTATTGTGGTTTACATAAGACATTTTAATTCGTACGTATAGTTAACATTATATGGAATGAAGTTTATTAGTGCAAATTAAACACTTCGACAATTACCAAACATTCCTACTGTAATAACAGAAGTCAATAAAAAAAACCTAATTATAAGTTCCATCATTTGTCCCTGTTCATCTGTGGTTGTAGTTTTTGGATGAAAAGATCTGCTTTAAATTTTTTTGGTGAATTTGGTATGGATTCGCACAGAAAAGAGGTGGATTTTACAACTACACCTCTCTTGTTGTAGTTGAAACTAGTTCAACTTATTTTGTAGAATGAATTTATTTTACAAATAAATGTTTATCTTGGATCATGTGATTACTTCCTTCAGTTATTTACAGTTAATAGAGCACAGCCTTCAATACTTTCCTTTTAGCTACATCCTTCTAATATGTTAATAAGACACTGTTTATACAAGGTGGTACACAACCAACTGTGAAGAAACAGTTCTGCAATGCTTTTGTCAATGAACCATCACTAGAAGATTTACACACATTTGGCCACCAAAGTTCTAGATCTCGCACCTGCGGGTTTCTGTTTACATGGCTAAATGAAACCTATGACCATCTGCATACGATTGTTGATCTTGAAAGCAGCATTCAGTGCTATATTCTTGATCTAAACGCAGTAGTGATACACCTTGCTTAAACTGTTATTGAAAATGGCAGAGGACTAGAACTGGTGACTCCATTTCTTCCTGTCATCGTTACTCATCAACTTCAAATTATTTAAAAAACAGTTGCAAAGTCTTCAAATTTGAGGAATGGCTTATCTGCAGGTTTCTGTTTACATGGCTAAATGAAACCTATGACCATCTGCATACGATTGTTGATCTTGAAAGCAGCATTCAGTGCTATATTCTTGATCTAAACACAGTAGTGATACACCTTGCTTAAACTGTTATTGAAAATGGCAGAGGACTAGAACTGGTGACTCCATTTCTTCCTGTCACCGTTACTCACCAACTTCAAATTATTTAAAAACACAGTTGTTTTGGTATAATTCGCATCTTGCGAAGTCTGCAAATTTGGGGAATGCTTTGCCCATGACCTTGTGTATGCACACTTCATTCTGTTAACATATGAAGTATGTTTGGGAGTTATAAGCACTGGAACACATAATGTAACTGTAATCACCTTGTATGTTACAATCCTGAATACTTCTTTTTAGTTTCAAATTTTGCTGGTAGAGAATGTTTATTAAAGATTTAATTTGAAGGAATATAAAAAAACGAACACTCTCTCTACATCTTATGCAAACCTTTAGGACCTCCATTTCCTACACATCAATGATGAAGAAAAGTCCATTTTCTGAAAGTGCTTATGCTATAAGGTTTTGAGCCTATAGGATCCCATTTATTCATATCAAATGGAAATTTATTCTATGTATGTGTGTATGTATATACTTTATTAACTTGGTGATGTTTCTAACTTGTAGTACAGTTGTTATAGTTAAATTATTAAGCAAATAACTATATTCTGGAACAAACTATTTGTTACATTTATTTCCTCTTAAATTTTTCATTTGGCTGAAAGATATTTAAGTTTTCACTACAGTCTTTAGCCTGAGGGTCAGCTAAAGAATCCACTTTTGGACACCATATTAAATAATTATTGGAAGGAGTATCGACACAAGAATAAAACTCTTCTGTATCTTCATTCTGTGTCATATGCATCTTAACTGTACTGAGTACCTCAGTGTCCATGATTTTCTTTTCTTTATAGGGACTACACAAATGATTTTCAAAATACGAAGACAATAAGGCTTTCTTTCTTGATTCATGTTCTTCACCTTCATAATGTCTTAATGCCTCTGTAAAGCTACTAAAATGTGAGATATTACAGATATCACACAAAAGTGCACCTTTCTTATTATCAGAGTCTCTAGTAATACTCTTGATTTTAGCATTACTGATATGATTTTCCAATTGCTTGGAGTTTGATGATGCCCCAGGAATAATTTCAGATTTATCCAACTTCTTTGAGTGCCCATTAGAATGTTGCAGCAAAATATCTGGGATGTTGTGATAAACTTTATTATCTGGAGACTGCTCTAAGATATAATGTATTCTCTCAGTATTTACCTTCCTACTGTTAATTTCTTTGGGGTCAGAATATATTGGTAATTTTAATAAGCTTTTTTCAGTAGTTAAACACTGTAGTTTTGTTTTATGCTGAATGCCATCAAAATGCTGCTTAGCACACCTCAAGTTTGTGAACATTACCTCACAACATTCGCAAGTTAGGGGAAAATCTTTAGGTTCTGAAGTAAATGTATTAGACCCAGTTTGAAGCTTTTCATTGGCAGTGGTATGTTCATATTCGGTATCTTTGTAAATTCCATCAGTGTGTACTTCAATACAAGTGTCTTTACTCTGTTGGTTTTCATTTTTAGTAGTGTCAGAATTTATTGACATTTTCATTAAGCTTTTTGCGAGGTCTAAGTTTTGTATTTTTTTGCAATGTCGGGGACTTTCAAAATGCTGCTTAGCACACTCAGGGCCTGTGAAACTTACTGCACAACATTTACAAGCTAATGACCAACTTTGGTGTTCTGCAATATGAAAATTATCACATCTAGTTTGAAGCCTCTCTCCAACAGCTTCACATTTACTTTCTGTATCTTCACAAGTTTTATCAGCGTTTGCCTTATTGCAACTATCTTTACTCTCCTGGTTTATGTATTTTTGTAAGCTTTTTGCAAGGGCTAAATTTTTTAGTTTTTTCATATGTCTGGAACTTTCAAAATGTTGCTTAGCACACTCTGGGCCAGAGAATCGTACAGCACAACATTCACAAATTAATGGACAATCTCTGAATTCTGAAATAAAATTATGAGATCTAGTTTGAAGACTCTCATTCACAAGTTCAGCTGCGCTATCTGTATCGTTACAAATTCTGTCAGTGTTTACCTCATTACAACTGTCTTTACTCTCCTGCTTGTCATTTTGTGTTACACCAGGATTTCTTAACATTGTCATTAAGCTTTGTTCCAGGGATAAACTTTGTATTTTTTTATTATGTTTGGGACTTTCAAAATGTTGTTTAGCACACTCTGGGCCCGAGAATCTTACTGCACAATATTTACAAGTTAATGGGCAATTCTGGATATTGTCAGGCTGAGTTTGAAACTTTTCAAGAGCAGGTTCAGAATCAGATTTTGTATCTTTACTGTATGCCTCTAGAGGAGAAACAGAGTGATCAGGAGAGCCTTCAGCCTGCTGAATTGATTGAATTTCCTTCCCCAGTTTCCAAGTTTTCAGCATTTTTTCATGACTTTTACTTTCCATGTGGATCTTATATGGAATTGGTCCAGAAAACTGTTTGGCACAAATGTTACAAAAGAACACGCTGTAGCACGTGAAAGACATTTTATTTGTGGAAATATTTATATTAAACTGTAGAACATTCTCAACAATTAATAATTTCCACTCTTGTACTTTTTGATATTTAATGTTGAATGGATAGAACAATAGCCACAATTTTCTGATTTACAATAATAATTTGTTTCACTTGATATAAAGCTCTACAAGTCCAGCCCAGACTCAGTATAAAGATTTTTAATAGATGGCATCAAAATACATACTCCAGAAAGCCTTGGGACAACTCTGCAAATAAATATCAGTGTGTGATTATATATGTATATATAAAAGAAACTTTTGAGGGAAAATGAACATCATAACAATGTATTATATTTTATATAAATATCTATAGTATAGCAATATTGAAAAAACAACAACAACTAGAAATAGGCTTTTACTACATTAATACAAAGAACTTGGATCATAAACCAGTGAAATTTTATTTTATGAACTTAGAGATGTGTATATAATCCTTTATTATGTACAACAGGGAGCAAACTTGTTACTAGGAGCACAAGAAGTGATAAGTCTCAAGATACTTAATATACAAAATATTAATTTTATTGAAATACAAAATCTCTTATTATTATGATAGAAAAATTAGTAATTAAATGTTATACATAATTATTATAACAACACTCAGTTTTGTCTGTCCTGAAAATGTGTGTGCCTTACTATCTAAATACATATGATCATGCACTTCATTTCAAGAGACATAAATATACTTTAGTAGATGTTTTGTACGACAACATATTACAAATGTATCAAAGTATTTAAAATGGTCAAATTTTAGGTCAGAGAATAACATTACAAGTTTATTTATTTATAGTATTAGGTACGGTAAAGTATAGCATTAACTAAACTAAAGCACAAAACATATGCAAGTTACAGTATTAATTTATCTCTCTCTCTCTCTCTTTTTTTTTTTTTTATGTTGAATATAAGCCATACCTAACAAAGGCTTAACTAACGTTAGGCGTAAGACAAGTGGACTTGTAGATTTCTGTGTCTATGGTTATAATTCTGTTGTATTATTCTAGAAATCCTGTATTTAAAGAAGTACTGTTACAATAAAGATACTAATTTAACCCCAAATGTTTTGTGGGTCTCTGCTAGTATAGCCTCTAATTACAAGTACACGAAACAAAAATAAACATCTTGCTTTTGTTGATAACTCTGTAAAAAAATTCACAATGAAGTACATTTCTACCACATCATTAAAAACAAATTCCATGAAAATTCTAAGTTGCTATATTTCAAATCTCATTATATTTAGGTTTACTGTGTGTACTGGTGCAGCTCAGAGTGCACATGCCACAACCTTGTACAGATTGCAATTCAACACATTATGACATATTTGATGTCAGAGTTATCAACTATTCATTTTACCCTAAGTGATGACTTAGAAACAGTAAATACAATATATGTAGAGATACTGAAAAAAACTGTATATATATGCATTTCGGAGGTTCTAGAGGTTGCACAAATGAAACATGCAAACTGTACAACGGACAAAAGTATTTTTATTATTCACATGAACATCAACTCCAACTAGTCAGACTAATATTGTCAATCCACAAATACATCTTAATAGAAGTATTTTTTATGCATCCAATTTTTTGTGTACAACAGATTTGTACACTTTATTTCAACCTTGCTACATTTTATGTAAACAAACATAGCAAATTCAGAACTATAGTCAACATTCATTTTCCAATGGACTTACCCCATGCACATTCAGTCATATTACTTCAGAGACATAGGTTATGTTGCATAACATTCCATGTCATGACTGAAAAACAAATTAGCTAAACTGAATTTTGTTTAAATACTTGCGTTGGTTGTGTGATTTTAATGTGACAGATGAGTTAAACAGTTTTTAGTCTCCTCCTACTTACTTGATGTCCTTACCTTAAATTAAATACAAACAACATAACACGTACTTGCATACAAACAACCCTAGGGCAGAATAATTAGTTCACGTTTTATCACCCATAAGAATATACTATGCTAATTTAAAAAGATAATTTTAAAAACAATTAAATTTCAACAAATGTATGAACAGAAATTCAACAACAATGCCTTAACACTTTGTGCTCCCAAACGAAAGGTGGTTTTAAATACAATGATAATTCAGAAAAGGGGAAAACTGGGTGCACAAAACGAGAAAAGGCACCTAATTAACAGCACCTACTGCCACCTCCTGTGCTAGTGTGATGTGACTGTTACTCTTATAATGCACACAATCTCAAAGTGCAGAGCATGATTTCTTGTGGCAACAGACGTACCATACTACAGACACCTTGTATTCCCTTTCTGGCAAAATAACTGATACACTACAAGAGATGGGGGGGGGGGGCTTTTTTAGTTATTGAACCTCTAAGAAGGTTTTCTTTTTTCATAAAAGATCTTTTGGCCATACCTAAATAAACTTATCTACACATTCACACATGGCTACATAAAATACAGTAAAATGACTAAATGCTGTTATGAATTTCTTCCACACTAGAAGCAGTTTCAACAAACATGAATATTCTTTAGATGGAATGTTAGTATTTTAGTTTATTAATCTAAAACTCAGTTAACCTTTGAGCAATCAGATATGTTTACTTAACCCTTCCACTGTGCAATATATCAGTTGTTTGAAGAATGCAGAGATGTTCCTGCTCGTTGCAGTATTTTTTTTAAAGCATCTAGATCCCAATGCCAACACACATGAATGGTACAGTAGAGGGTAACATTTTTTTTTGGTAGCCATGGGATAAATCCCAATTTCACAGCCACCAGGTATAAATGTTTGTTCAGATATATCCAAATGTTGCAGCATAAGGGTTAATAATTGGAGATTCAGTCAAGACAGTGACTATGAAGTAATGCTGCATCTCTAGATAACCCAGTCATGATATTAAGTGGAAATGACACAAAGTGAAATACAAAATGCACAGTCTTTATTAAAACATTAAACAGAAACACAGTTTGTGAACATGTTTTATCATACAAAATACTATTACTTTTACTGGATTTTATAAACTGCTTACTATTCCAGACAATTTAAGTTCAACATTTTTTAGTTTGCAAGAAACTTCATATTTACCTAGAGTGACCAGCACCACCTGCGTGACTGGTCATTTTCATTACAAAATAGGTGAGATTGTAATCTCTAGTTACTATATGAATTACCATTGAAGGCCACCATTGTTGACATCCGTGTACAATATGCAGTATTGTTCTCTCTTGCCATTCCTGTGACAATAGTCAACACCCTTACATTTTGACTCAGACACGTTCTTTCCACTACCATCTGGTTCTTATGTAAACAGCACCTAGTTCCAGTAGAAAAGGAATGGGGTCTAGACTACAAAACTGGATCCTACACGTAAAATGACTCAGGATAAGAAATTCCAACCCTTACTTTTTGATTGCATCATCCTTCCTTGAAGACTTTCTTTCAGTTTCCAATTTAGTGTGAGCTTTAAGGCATTTTCCAAAGTTTCCCCACATGTGACTTTTCTGCTGTCTCTTAGTATACTTAGTCTGCATTTTATACTTTATCCTGTACTGAAACAATGTTAACAAAATATTTAGAAAATTGTGTGTTTTACTGCAAATTTCAATCTGCATTATTGAAAATAATTTATCATGACCAAATAAAACTCAGGGTATACCAAGTTAATACTTTTTGACATACTACTCAAAATTTGCTAAGGATCACCATTTTCTAGTAATAGGTTTATTAAATAAAACTTCTTTGAAATAATATTTGTACAGGTGCTTTGTTTGACATGTCCCCTGCAATTATCAAGTGCTTTTCAGACTGTGTGGTCAATCATGACTATCACAGTTTAGTAGAAAATGGGTCATCCCCTATCCTTGGAATTTTCAAAGTATTAAAAGCACTTTGTGGTTGTTTAATTAGAAAATTGTAACCATTCCAAGACACATTCTTTAGCTTTACTGCTTCATTCAATGCACTTTAATGCCATGTAGGCATCATCTGAGTGTGTATGAGCTCTCAAGAGGAATAGGGTTTCTGCTGCACTAGGAGTCAGTCAAAGTGTAGTCTCTTGGGCATGGAATCACTTTCAAGAGACAGGAAGAGTGAACAGAAGGCAGGGTGGTGGTCGTCAAAGGGAAACAACACATCAGCAAGTAAAATTGAAGTTTTAATGCTACAAGGCTTCAGAGAAACTTCAGGAGCTAGTTTTCACATGGATAGTGAGAGACAGACTCCACGCAGCTGGCCTGAGAGCAAAGAAAACCAGCAGTGCAAGTTCCACACTGACAGTACAGGCTCTTTGGTCAAATTTCCTCTTCATGGATGAGTCCAGATGCTGCCTGGACTATCACGATGGACACATTCCTGTGTGGAGATGACCTAATGAGAGATACACAGATGTGAATTTGATAGAAAATGACCAGTATGTAGGTGGGTTAGTGATGGTTTTGGGTGGTATCATTCTCAGGGGACATACAGAGTTGAACATCATCCAGAATGGTGCTTTGAATGGAGAAAGGTACAGATATGAGAACATGATCATTTTTGTAAGACCATATGCAGACACCAATCTGTTAAGGTCATTGTATGGTATGCCTTACCAAGAGAACAATACAGACTATCTACATAAGCATTCAAGCTTTTCAAGACTTGAATTCAGCCCAATGTGTTGCTCCATTTTATTTTAACCATGTTGAGCCTCTGTCTTGCAGTCTCAGAGTTACTATTCATTTAAGTGCTTGATGAAGTCTAGGGCCAGACTGTCTAAACTCAGAACAGTGTTGTACAGCTTGTTTAGGAGTCCAACCATTCCAGGTAGTAACTTGCCTGAAACACTTCAGTAAATGTCCTAAATCCTCCTTTGCTGTATCTTTAAATACTGGTGGAGTGATCTGTTTTGCCTTATTCATGGGAAAGGATGATTTTGAACTGATACTCTTCTTCAAGACTTTCTGCGACATCTGACTGAGATGTTCTTAATGTTGTAGGCACAGGGTACCCCTACACATGAGCAGTAGGTTCCTTACTCTAGGTTGGCAAAAATGATGAGGTCTGCAAGATGGCTCATCCATCAGTTCTGCTCAATCTCAGGCTTCTCTGTGATTCATAGTCATCCGGACAATATATATTCCTGCTCTTGCTCACCGCTGCATCCATGATCCACTCACTTCCCCATTCGGTACCTGCTGATGAAATAGTTCCAGTTGACAGAAATCATCCACCAACACCACTTCTAGTCTCTGTCACGTTCTCAGGTAACTTTGACAATAGCTGTTGAGGTTGAATGATTTTAGCTAATTAAAGTCTAGGGTCCCATGTAGACCAACCCACTTCAAGGTCACTGTATGCCACAACAAACCAGAGTCATCCATATTTCCCTCACAATAAGATTGATCCTAAGAGGAAGAGCATCGACAGTCATTCTGGATGCACCAAATATTAACGGCTCTTCTTCACGAGTCATTAATTGTAGTGAAATGGAAGTCACGGACATTTGCATCATTGGCAAAAGTCCAAAATCCAGCAGAGGACTTCTTGTACATCTGACAACCATCTTCTTTCAACGGCCAACTATTCCTATTGGTTGTAAGTTTAATTGTAGAAAATTTCATATCCTTAACTATTAATTCTTTTTTGGTTAATTTATATCACACAAGAGCAGGAGCAAAGGGCAATACACATTTCAGCAAATATAACAAAATTTACAATACAGTATCTTGCAGCCACAGCACCAACATTGTCTCCTTCCTCACACAGTGGTATAAGCAGGTAAATTTGAATTAAATTTTTGAGCAACTGTTTAATAACAGGAGATTCAGTGAAAATACTGATTATAAAACAATGTAGAATACCTGAGTTGTGATGTTAAATGGAATAACGAGACTGGACATAAAGTACACTTCCCTTATGGCATAAGAGATTCCTGCTTCTAATGAATTCTCTAAGCTGCCTACTCTTTAAGATCATATTCCAGACTGTTTTAATTCAACGTTCTTTAGTCCACAAGAAATATCATATGAGATTGTAACTCCTAAAATACCAACTGAACTACCACTGAAGGAGACTGCTGTCAATATCACAGCACAATATGCAGCAATATTACCCAGCCAGAACAGGTGTTATCTACTCATGGAATAACAAGGTAACAAAGGTAGCTAGAACAAATCAACTTAACTGCATTTTCAACCACTTTTTACATAAAACCTATACAAAGCAAAGAATAATAAACCAGAATATCACAAGAAAATTGAAATGCATGGTATGACACTAGCTGGATGGGTAAAATATAAACTAGTAACAAAGGACAGAAAATTGTACTTCTATTTTTTTTAACATAATAAACATAATCAATTCAATAAAAATACAAAATGGTACCAATACTGAAAAGAAACACAAGAATTTTATTAATGTGAAATTAGATGGAGGGTCCAACCCATTCATGTCATCCTGTATATCACTGTGTCAAGTTGTGCTGATTTGATAGTTTTTCCAAAATTAGATAGGAAATTAAATGGGGGATATCAGTAAAAATTTGAAGTTGAAAAATTTAAATCTACCATTGTCAAAATATTAAATTATCTTACACCAAACAACAAAGGAAAATGGTCTTCAGTACTACTATACATTTAATTTTCTCTGTTTATTTCCTTGCCATGTGTTTTCCTACTAGTCATAAATCTTTTAGTATAAACCTTATTCATTATGTAATAAACTATAATATTGGTGTAACATTCATCCTAAAGACCATAAATATAGACACACAATTTAAGCATAAGAGACCTGTTGGTCCAACTAGGTCATCCAACCCACTATACTAAACTCTAAAATAAAAACAAAACACTCAAAATCAGCCCTTATGATTCAAATATTTATCAAACCTTCCCTTAAATTACATACATTTAACACATCTGAAGGTAAACCATTCCAAAGGCCAACCACTCTATTAGAAAAATAAAGCTGTCTAAACTGAAAATGACTCTTACCCTGCCAAAGTTTATATTTGTGTCCCCTCCTCTTACCATTCTCACCATTAAGTATGAAAAAAAGATGATGCCTCAACACTCCTGATTTCCTTAACAATATTAAACACCTCAATCAGGTCTCTACTAACTCTTCTTTTTTCAAAAGAAAAGAAGTTCAAAGATCTTAACTTATCCTCATATGACAACCTTTCACTCTTAGATATATCATCTTAGTTGCCCGTCTAACAATTCAAGAAACCCAAGACTGAACACACTACTCCAAATGTGGCCTAACCAATAACCTATACAATTACATTATAGACTCTTTTAAATTTTTTCTGTTGATAAAATCTAAAATTATATTTGCCCTGCCACTAACAACAACACATTGTTTGGATGGCTCAAGAGACTCAACACCAAGATTCTTTTCTTCCATAGCACAGTTAGTTATTTCCACCAAAATTACCCTCATAATTCAAATTGTGATATCCTACATGTAGGGGCAAAAAATTCTTAAAATTTTAACATGCCCAATTGGGTATGTAGCAGTATACTCTACATACATAATATAAAATTTTACATGGCTGAAGTGTGAAAATGAAAAAACAAAAACACTTCAACTACTTTAAGTTTAAAATGTTCATTTTTCTGCCATAGAAGTTAAAGCTACATTTCATCTAAAAGATCGTTTCTTCTTAATGACAAGTGACACCTTAAAAAGATAGTTCTAAAATACCATAACACAAAGATCCTTAAAGTATAATTTTCTTGTTTTTATAGAGCAAGCAGTTCAAAAGGCACTGGTATTAACACAATTTTTGACAGGCATGGCAGTTAATGTCTTTGGTTTGGACTTTAATTCTATTCTAAATATGTATTTAGCTGCCATAAACAAAAAAAATATATCAATGACATTTGCTTTATTTCTATGTTAAGGAAACAGGAACACTACACTACCATGTCCTCTAACCCTTTAGTTCAAGCTCTTGCAATACTGTGAACACCTTCAGGCTGTTATTTCAGACAATTAAATATAGTTTGATGTTCATAAGCATTTTTACAACAGTGTTGGAACTGTAAATGTTGTATCTGTAAGAACTCTGATACTCAAAGACATTGTGATTAACCAAGGGAGATGGATAACCAAGAACAAGTAATTATATTTATTAGGCAAAAATGTATTTAGTCAAAGTAAAAATGTAGTATTTTTGAAATTATCAGGTAGCCTAAATTTACTTAAAAAAATAAATTAAAATTACATCAGTTTACATTAGAAAACTAAACTTTTGATGATGAATATTTTATCTTTGAAAACCATTAGGAATGAATAAGAATAAAAGTAGAATGTCTATACAGACAATTTACTATCATTGTGTTAATAACACTATCTAATTTGCCCATGCTAGCCACTGTATACTGGATTTTTAGTCCCAGATCCTTTTTTTTTT